TTACATACATTATATAAAATGTTTCTAGTCACGAGAATCTATTATGCTTTTCCAGGCTTACTATGACCTTTTATTTTTTGTACCCTTGCAAAAATTTAATCATAAAATATACATGTTATATTTTTAAGTTCTTAACATTATATCTGCAGTCGTTTAGTCGTAACTTTTTAATACACAAACATATCTTATTCATTATGTACTGTACTGTACGTACGCACGTACAAACTTAAAATATAATTCATGCAAACAAAATTTTATATAAAATAAAGACCCGGGCTCGTGTCTTTTTGTACTGCGATAAATAGTAATAACTTACATAACGATAAACATAAATACTACGTATAATGAAACGAATGGTTTATTGTAACGCAGATCTGATCTATAGTTTATTCTAGACGCACAGCCAATATATTGTTTGTTACATTGTCTCAATAATTATGGTGACTAAAATAATTTATTAACATTTTTCCATGGCTTAGATCTTTTTTACAATTTATTTTGAGTGTTGCAAAATATAATGCATCTATTATTAAAATTCCTTTATTTTAAATCTTGTAATGAATAGTCTCACCACCACTTAAATTTGCAGATTTATATAACTGTACTGAATTAAAAAAATCCTAAGATTTTACTTATAAAATGTGTTATATTGAATGCGTATACTAATTGTGTAATTTGTTGAGTTTATAAGTCTATAAGAAAAAAGCATTGGCAAATACAGTCAATCTCTATATAATCATAGTTGACTACCACTTAGTGCTAGGGATGTTAAATCATGAGTCCACCCTAGGACCTTCTTGGACAGGTCCTTAAATCGCATAAAAACATTGACTTAGACCGTATTAGATCCTAGCTAGATCTTCCGAAAAATCACCAGTCAATTAATTCTGCATTGTTAAAACAATTCGTTCCAGAACCAAAGTTATATATGAATATATTATGTTTACCTAGTTCGACTGTTCTTGAAAGGACAGATCAGGACTTGATCCCAAAAGATTGATTAACACCCTAGTTCGGCTGTTCTTGCAAGGACAGATCAGGGCTTGACCCCAAAAGATTGATTAACATCCTATTACCATCCGTCTGCTTGCTTCTTCAAGTGGAAAACCCACTGGCTAATAATAACTACCTTGGCTATTCAACACTGATTCTTCAAAACTTTCGTCATTCCGGTTCAACACTCTTATATCATTTCGAAATCTACAAATGCAATTTAAAAAAAATATTCCTGCATGTTTATAACGATATCGTTATGATATCACAGAAATCATATAGAGGATGGTCAGTAGAAACCAAACAAATTGTTTCTAAGTAAATTTTTTAAACTTTAGATTAAAATATCTCAACAACTATTAAAAAACTAAACTTGATAAAAACTTTTTTATTTAATTCTAAAACTATATAATAAAACTATATAAGGCCATCCAAATTTAATTAATTGTTTCTCATAACCCGGCCGGGTCAAATTTTTGAAACTTCCGAAGAAAAATTTTTTATATGTTTTAATAGTCGGGTGGGGTTTAAAAAAATTTTTATAAAATATTATTAAAAAAAAAGCCGACGGCCGGGTCATATGTTATGAGAAACAAAAAATTAATTTGTATGACCTAAAATTAAAATAAAAAAAAATTTTATCAAGTTTGCTTTAATAATTGTCGAGATATTTTATTTAAAATTTAAAAACATTTTGGGAAATTCTATTTCATCTAGGTTAAAATCACTCGATAAACTATAATATCATTTGTGTAACTAAAATTATTAGTATTAGCAATATTTCGGGTGACTTGGACCCGGGTGAAAATAGAATTTCCCAAAAAATTTTTATTAAAAAATAAGTTGTAAGCCTTCATCGCGGAATCTTACATTTTTACGATAGAGGCAAATATTCCAGATCTAGTGTAAATTTTCAAATGTAGTTTCTTACTAGCATTATTAACGAGGTATTAACGAAGTTTTTTGGCGAAATACGAAAATTATTAGTTTTTCAAAAAACCTCGTTAATAGTACCACTAAGAAACTAATTTTGTGTTTTACTTTGAAAATTTTCTCTTAGCGATCTATATTATTGATAATTTACACTAGATCTAGAATATTTTGTCGCTATCGCAAAGCTGTAAAGTTGAAATATTTTTAACACAATAACTACGCGACGTCATCTCGCAAACCAGAAACTGAGTGATAATTAATATCTTTGGTTTCAAATAATAATTATCCATAAACATTTTTATAAAATTTTATAGTATCCTTCTCAAGCTAAATAGCATATTGGGCTTATTGCAAAATGATAATATAAGGATGACCTAATTACAAAAGACTTGGCTAAAATTTGAAAACAATCTTCTATCTTATTATGTATAAATAAAATTTACAACTAAAATAATATTGATTTTGGGTATTTAATAGAAATTTAAAATTTAGATATTTATACATTATTACTACAAAAAATCAACAGTACTTGACAAATATGGTCATTTGCAAGACATAATACAAAAGTTCTCAATTTAGCAATTGCTACTAATTTATATGATGAATTAATAGGTATTTGTCAAATTTTTATCTTAGATAAGCAACAAATACAAGAATGACAAAAAGATAATATGTTTAATATTGAAAATCTAAGAGTTATGGTACAAAAAGGAAGACCCCTAGAAGGGCAAAGAGTACTGTTGAAATTTAAGAAAATTAGTTAAAGAAATACTAATCAAGTGATTAATGAATCTAGAACTGCATATAACAGATTAAAAGAAAAAGACAGGTGTAAAACATACAGAAAAGGCACAATAGAGCAATATGTAAAAATTAAACTTCATAACATTTCTTTTCAATATAAATATGCAGTTTAATTATAATAATATTTAAATAAGAAGATGTGTTAAAGTTTTAAAATATTTTATACTATAAAAGACTTTAACATATCTCAAATTAAATAGTTAATTAATATTGTCATAGGACCGATGTATAATGCTGTAATGTTTAATTTATTGCGCTTTTCAAATTGCTGTGTTCACTGATTTTCATACATCACACTGGGAATCAGAAATCAAAAAAAATGCCAATACATGATTAGCTAAAAATTATTTTTAACCAATTAGAGGTTTGCATTTGTTCTAGATTTCTGATTTCCGGTGTGATGTATGAAAATCAGTGGACACAGTAATTTGAAAAGCGCAATAATAAGCTACCTTATTTACTTTGTGTAAATATAATAAAGATTTTTGCCCATTGTTGCAATAAAAATTTAGACTAGATGGTTTGACTATATTTTAGAATTTTGAATTTAGAAAGATTATAATTTAGTACTTAGAATAGAATCAATTTTGAAGATTGTAACTTGCTGGTAGGTAATAAATAGATGGGCTTATATTTAAGTAGATATTATTAGATAATATTGGTTATTGTAGCAAATGAGAATTACTTGGTTAACCAATGTTGAAAACGTTCATATGCTTTCTTTTTCAAATTCTTAAGAATACTGTTATTCTGCATCGAAGTATTTGAATTTATTGTATTAGATAAATAAAATAAACTGGTATTGTAATTTCAAGCGAATTGTCAAATGCATTTATATTGTCTTGGTGATTTGAGAAGTGTTTTTTTAGTTAGTTGGTTAGCGGGTTGGAGTTAGAAAATATTTTTTAGTTAATAGTTAGGGCTAGGGTTAGTAGGTTAGAGTTAGAAAGTATTTGTTAGTTAGTTAGTTAATGGTTAGTGGTTAGCGGGCTAGGGTTAAAGTTAGAAAGTATTAGTTAGTTAACGGTTGGTTAGCGGGTTAGGGTTAGAGTTAAAAGCATTTGTTAGTTAGTTAGCGGGTTAGGTTAGAATTAGAAAGTATTTGTTAGTTAGTTAGTGGTTGGCGGATTAGGGTTAAAATTAGCAAGTAATTGTTAATTAGTTATTAGCAGGCTAGACTTTAAAGTTAAAGTTAGAGTTAGAGTTAGGGTAAATACTAATATAATTTATTCATTGGTTAGTGTCTTTGATTTTGCTAATATATATATGCATATATATAAATATATACTTTTATTTGATGTTATAATGCATATGTAATATTAATTTTCACAAACCGGTAATTTTACCCTGGTTAGGATTAGCAATTGCCTAAAAGTATTTACGTTTTAATTTTTTTGTAGCTTTTTTTTTTTTAATAAATACAGTTAGGCCTCTTTATAATTACATCCTTGGTTTGAAGAATTTGGTACTTATAGAGAGCTTGTGCTTATTTAAAGTTTAAATTTTATTAGTGTTATATAATTATAAATATATATGACTATAGAAAAGGTGACTATAGAGACGTCTGACGGTATAAATTGGTTTTAAAAATTTATAGCATGATGGAAATTTGTTTTGATTGGCTAATCAACAAAACTCTGATTGGACAAAATTAAAAGGATTAATTCCGTTATTCTAAGGATTTGCGCCTCCAATACTTTTATGGGATTTCGGGAACAATTGATTTTTAATCTTATCTTGTTCACGTGAAATTCGAAACATCTATTCAAAAGGGAATCTTATTTAATCTTATTTTTATTAAATATTACATATTGAAAGTTAAAAAGTACATAATATTGTTAACGTACTATATGCTTGTAATATCAGAATCGTTTCTAATGAAAGTTGGTGGAACACTTGATCTCGCTTGATCTCACTTAATCCCAAACTTTTATATGAAAGTTAAGCATCCAAAAAACCTTCTGACAAAATTTCAGGGAGCTTTGGTTATAAAAATTTCGATATAGCTACTTTAATTTAAAATTTTCTATTGTAAAATAATATAAAAAGTTTATATAACAATATTTTGTCATATAAAATAAGTGTCCAATCAAAACAAATTTCTATCATGCTAAAATTTATGTAATTATAAGCAAATGTGACCATAGAGAAGGTGACTATAGAGAGGTCTGACTATACATCGCTAAATAAACAATTTTATTTTGAAAAAGAAAAATCATAAAAGCCAGATGCTAACCATAGATAACAATGATGTAATTGATGGCTTAATCTTAAAATTTTCTGAGCATACAATCTAGATTAGAAGCAATAGAAGAAGAACAAGTGGATAAACTATTAGGTAAAGAATATGTGTTATCAAAAAAGTTAACGAGTGCGTTATTATTAAGCATAATATCATTGGTATTAATATGTGAAAAGCAACCATTTTGGATTGGTTGAAAATTTTCGTTATAGTTATAGCCAGGACAGAAAGAAAGGGGTACATCATATTGAGTCAATGCGTGCTCCTGTTCGATATTTGAAGCTTCACCAGAGTTATCAAGCATAATATAATTAGTATTAACTTTTGAAAAGAAACCATTTTGCATTGGCTGAATTTCATCATTATAGACGCTAAATTGAGTCAATGCGTGTTTCTGTTCGATATTTGGAGCTTCACCAGAGTTATCAAGCATAATATCATTGGTATTAATTTTTGAAAAGAAACCATTTTGGATCGGTTGAAATTCTTCGTTACAGCTATAGCCAGGATAGAAAAGAATGGGTACGCTAAATTGAGTTGATAAGTGTTCCTGTTCGATATTTGGGGCTTCACCAGAGTTATCAAGCATAATATCATTGGTATTAATATGTGAAAAATAATTATATTGGATTGGTTGAGATTCTTCGTTATAGTCAAGGTAGAAAGGAATGGGTACGCCAAATTGAGTTGATGAGTGTTCAAGCTCGATATTTGGGGCATCCCCGGAGTTATCTTCAAAAACGTTAGCTGATCTATCAGTAGCTTTCGGTCCCCGTTTTTTAACCGGTTTAACGTAAATACATTCAAGGTTGTGTGATGCGCAATTTGTGCAAATAGCTTCTTCGGAACACTTTGCGTGTTTCTTTCGGCAATTAGTGCATGCGTTAGTCGCGTGACGGCCTCGTTGTTGTCGACTTAAATAAAACATGGTCATTCAAAGTATTTTATGAACAAATATTATATAACAATGATATAAAAATAAATTTTATAGACGCGAATAAATAGACATTAACAACAATTAAAAATGGCCCCTATCTCAAAGTTACGATTAAAAAATAACACATGTAAAATATCTAGTATTTTACTTGGAAAATATTATAAAAAGGGGAGTGTTAAATAATTATGTTTATAAATAAGATTTTCTTTTTTTTGACCCGTTGGAACTTAAGATAGATTTTTTACGTTTTATTTATAGAAAAAATATATCTCACAATTAATTTTCTAAATGTATAGTAATAATCCAGGTTCGTAGTACCGTACCGCACTGCCTTTAGTATCCGGCGTGACAAATAATGCAGATCAATTTTTTACAATATTATTTATGCGTGA